GCCAAACAAATCATGGAATGCCTCATTAAAATCGCAGTGAGGTATGAAAAGTGAGTAGGATCTCAGCTGGTCACTCTTTCTCGGTCTAGAGTTTTCGGTGATTTTTCGTAAATAATGGTTTCTGGCTTTGACGATGACTGTCACAGGACGGACGAAAGCGCAAAACGGTCTTAAAACGGTGAGCTGAGGTCTTCTTCGCTCAATTCAATAGACAAAAGTCCCAGTTAATCCTCATATGATATCCGATGGGGCCAATCTACGAATACCTTAGATCCATCTTTTCAAACGAAATGAAAAATATGCCAGTATCGACAGATCCTAGTATACACAATTTCTTGAAGACAAAGTGTAAAATCACATGGAAAGTGTATAAAGCATTAATCGAACATCGATGGCGCCACATCATTAAAGCAAGATTTTCTGGCAATTTTGAAATCTTTATTGTCATGCGATTTCTTACGAAACCAACAATATTTCACATTTAGATGAGACATTTGAATGCTAAAGAATGGTGGTCAAGGAACCACAGGCGAGGAGAGCGAGGATAAAAGCTGGATTCGTAAGCAATCTGGTTTACTCGCTCCACGAGTATTATTATTACACGAGTCAAGGATCAACGATTTCGTACATATTAGTTGTAAACTACAAAATGGGATTCATGGTGAATCCAAATCTTCGAAGCACCCAAATATATATAAGAATAGAAAAAAGTGCAAAAAAAGTTGAAGTCTTTAGGAAATGTCTAGTAGTACGATCAAATGGTGCACATATTAATTAGTGTGCTCCACGGTCTGGGAAAGGCTAATCTCTACCCAATGTAAGGGTAGATCTTACACAGAAAAGCCTTGATCCTACTAGCAAAGTTGAACAAATAAATATTTCAGGCACAGGGTAAATAAATGATTTTTTTCTTACCTGTTCGTTCGGGTTTGCTGATACATTTTCGGATATTGACTCAAGAGTGGAGGGGAATGGCTTCTCAAAGAAGCAGGCTAATGGAACATGGAAAGGCAATACATCAAGAAGATGGGCAGCTGGGTGTCCTAGCTGTGAGCTGCCGTGGATTCGGTAGCCGGGAAGGCTTGTCTCAGCATCAGCGAGTTGAGTGATAAGGTGACCA